ATTGGTGTAAAGAGTTTTGATCTATGATCAACTATTTGAAATAGTATCATTAAAAGGAGCACAGGGTTTGGAACTTTTGCCTTTGCTGAAGGCTAGAGAATGAGCACATATCCTAGGACCTGTCGGGGAGCAAAATGGATGGGAAGGGGCGACCGACCGGGACAAAGGTTTGGGAAGCGAGCTGGCCGGTTGGGGTGCTCGCGAGAGGAATTCGTCTGGGGAGGGAGAAGCAGGATCAAAAAGTAATATTAATTAGCATGACTCACATTTTTGGATCAACAGGCATAAGTTCCCGTCGATAAATTACAGCAATTGGACACAAATTGCGCAAAAAATGTTTTACAAAAGCATACAGTCCAGCAATTCAACTGTGTCTTCGTAAATAAATGTTTCTTTCCGTCGAGGAAATAAGCACTCTTCTTGAAACTCGGCACCCGCTGCAATCGAATTTTATTCAATCATTTATTCACTCAACTGTTATCATTTAATACGGGTTGTTATCTCCAAATATTCCAATTATAAGACAACGTTTAACATGACGACACATCCCAGTGGATCAGTCAATTGGATCCCAATGGATCAATTAACAGAATGGTTCTTGTACAGCGAAAGCGACAAGCCTCGGCATTGGTGCGTCACACAACTCATAAGCAGTAATGATATTATCTATGATCGTGATTTATGACAAATTGTGTTTTTATTTCTCCACATTCTACGATCAACATGCTCCAAGTTATGATCCATGAAGTATAATTATGTCTTTTAAGAGGAATCACTGAATTTTCTGATCATCTTAAAGGTATAAGACCAAATGAGAGGAAATGAATAGATGAACATAAACTAAATAAGTTATCATTCCTTTCAAAGCATGTCATGATGGTTCGAAGCTTTTGACGTGAATGATCATCGTGATCGTTATCTAAACCACTCCTTTAATGGTCCATCCAGCTCGACTGCTCGCTCATTGTTCTAGAGATCTTTTGGTGTAACCTTTTAGAAACCTTCTTCATCATGCATAAAGTCCAATAACAATAAGTTATATTAATCGGCTCAACTCAGAATGGTCGCTGAATTGATTAATGATTAGTGATTCAGAAAATATGCAAAAACTGAAGCAGACGACAGTTTTAACTCATAAAAACATGAGGAATCATCAGTTTCCATGTTGAATCGAAACTTATTGATCCGCTGACGACTGGTCGATTGATCGTCGAAGAGATTCGATGTGGCGACGTCAACAGATAGCGTGGCATCGTCCAGCTGCATAAAATGCATTTTAGAAATTCAGCCAGATCTTTTCAACTACTTTTCAACTACTTCTCGTGATCAGCTTGTGGCTATTCTGATAAGTTAGAGCCCCATTTATTAGATTGTTTCAGAAAATTTTCTGATTTCCTAAGATACAATTTTTTCACGCAAGCTTGCAGTCAGTCGTCATTACTATCTTAGGCTTTACTCAGCACTCACCTTATTACAGGAAAATTCGTAAGGATAATACTGTGATTTGGTCGCAATATCATGGATTTTGCTGTATTTGACGATGATCGAATACGAGTAGAGTTTTGTTGAGAATTGCCAAGAAATACGAGTTAATTGAATTGAACTTAGGTGACTGTGTAAAGCTAGATGAGCAGTGATGTTGAATTCTCGATTAATATACATTGCTTTATGGGCTGTCATTTGTGGTCTCTAATTGAATTACCCACCTCATTTAACAACTTCAAACCACTCATCCAGCAGAATGCTTTTCCGAACCCTAATTTCTTCAATTTCGTTAACATCACTCATCATTCAGCTGTAATATTTCATCAGCACTTCATCCTATACTGTCATATATCTATCTCTTAATCTCTTCTTTTCACTCCAACAAAAGCCTTATTCTTCAGCGTTTCAACGATTCCTCTTAACTGCAGAACATTCTTGAATTTCTTCTGATTTCGAGTTTGATCAATTATTTTTGGATGAATTGTTATTAAAATGTGTTTACCGCTTTCAATCCTTGCATAAAATTCGTTATCATGATGGAATGAATTTATGCTTTTGCTTGAATTTAACTGACTGGAGTGATGTTTTGTAACATTTCATTTGTAAATTTGATTGTCTCATTACCAACAGTAATGAGACAATCAAATTTTTCAATCATTTACAATCGTCATGGCAGTTCATGGAGTTGCTGGGAATTTTATGGTTGGAAGATGAATGAATAAATTGAATGGGAATTACTGATGAAATGAATTGAAAAATAGAATTATCCGTGGTGCGCGCATTGGGAATTGAGTGCATTTCACAATGAGGCAACATTTATTTCTTAGATGAAACGTCGAGACATGAGAAATCAAATTTTAATGAAGTTAAGAGCGAGTCTTTGTTCGCAATGAACCTCTCTTGAGAGCCTCTAAACAAATTTCAATGCTTGAAAATCCTTCCACTGTATTATTTCTTCATAGAACGTCGATCCAGCTCTACGTGGTCGCTCTTCGTGTAACGTCTAGAAAACTATTTCCAAAACTAATTCATGCAAAGATTCTTTCCAGCTAACGGAAATGATTTGCTATGTTTTGATCACTGATTGCGTTTCCATTATCTATTGTTATCATATGATTTTATTATTGCAAATTTCTCAACTAGGACGTACTCACCGAGAGCCTGAATCAATTCATGTAAGGATGATTAATTCACAATTGTACATATTTGAGGAACTCATTTGAGTAATTGTATGGTGTCGAGGCGTTATACTCATAAATTTTATTGTCATGTGCTAATATAATCATCCAAACATCCATTTATTGATGGTGTTATAAGTTATTAGCAGCTAATGCGTCTGAAGCACCATCATCGAGACGTAATTTCACACCCGACATGAAACATTCTGCTTCTTATAATCCTATCGATTGCATCCATTTCCAATTCATTCCTATATAATGAGGACATCANTTTCATTCGTTCACTCCTTCCACATCACTGTCATTGTTACTCGAATAAATATTTTTTTATGAATGCTTTTATGCTCACTCAAGCGATAGCTAGCTGGTAATAATTTACACTATGAATAGAGATAGATAATAAGTCCTATTCACTTCAACGAAGCAAAATCCGTAAATTCCAATGCTTTTCGTCCACCCATTTGTGTCACTACAGTCAAATTCCGAATGCTAAACACCCATCTTCATCCATAAGATTGTAATCATATTTCTGTTTTGTTATCATTGATCTGCTAGCAGCCTCATTCACTTTGTTGATTATCATAAATTCATTAAGGTGTGAATTAAAAATTTCAAGTGATTTCCGAATATCATTCATGAGTTTGTAAAGTGACACAATCGAGCATGATTTTGATTTTGATTTTGATTTTCATGCGTTTTGAAAATTTCTTCTTCAAAAACGATACTGAAATGTTGATTTTTATGAGGTGAAAGAAGAATCGTTCATTACTTATCGGATGAAAGTGACTGAGTGATTATTGTTTTATGAAGAAGAAAATGAAAATGGAGTAAAGAATGCACCACATTCAAAATGGGCAATAGAACTTCAAGCACACCATCTCCTGTTCCACAAGTTAACATTGCACAAAGGTCTGCATCAAGACGANCTCTTTTCGTTACGATTAAATCAGTTCTGTCTATATTCTCTTATGCTACTAGATCTAAACAACATCAAATTATTACCTGAACTGTTTTCATGCAATCGTCATTTGGCTGATGTTACGGTCAAATCGCTTATTTCTTTCTCCGTCTAAGTGCAACAATATCAATGAATCATTTCAAAGGCATCCACTAGAACATTGAGATAATTTCAGAAGTTTTAGTTTCGCTCTCAAGTTTTACCGAGAGTTCCATTTTGGGCATCTCTCTAAAATATTTAAGTATAGAACAATTGTGCCTCTATTATGGGCTTTATTGAGCTTCCTAAAAAAGAAATCGACGGAAATGAAACTCATTCTCTGGAACCCAAATTCGGCTTTTAGCTACTTTTTACTGGAATGGTCCTCCATATTACACGCGTTGGAAAAACCCTAGTCTAAAGGAAAGTTCTTAATAAGTGTTTAGTTGATCTCTAGGAAGACGATGGTCAACAGCAGTGGTCAGTGCGCCTCGAAGCATGTCCATTAAGCCAAAACGTCTATCACCACGACAACGCAATCTCATCATCAAATCCTGGAGTCGAATCAATAAATTGAAACTTGCGAAAGATGCTTTCATCGGTTCGTTTCATCCACAGTCCATCATAACCTCCAAACAAATGCTGATAATTTTTCCTTACACTTACAACTGCGATTGTACAAACACACAAAACTGACAACAATTCATTTATAATTGTAAATCAAAGTCCGGAACTGTGAAAGGATGGCTTTATGAATTTATATTTTTCCTTGGCTGTACCTTTTCAGGATTCTTGTTTTGACGTCTGACCTTAGAGATTTGATAAAGTTTATTATTTGAATATCGAATGAATAAGCAGTGGTTCATTTCAGAGATATTCAAAGCGAGTGATTTCGTTCGTACAAAATTTGTTTTCGGTGAACTTACGTTGAAGAAAATTCGACAAGACGATCGCTTCGTTGCACATTGTGAACGTTTCATAAGTGCACTCGACCAACTCATCGCACACCTCGACGAGATTGGCGCAGTTATCGAAAATGCTGAGGAGCTTGGAAGGTCACTCTTTCGTTCACCACAGAATTTTGACACTTCCAACTAGACTCTAACATGGGGATCGGCAATCCCCGGCCCGCGGGCCAAAATTGGCCCGCCGACAATATTCTTTGGTCCGCCAGATGAATTTGAGAATTTGATTTTAAAGGGATAAAAAACGAAAAGAAAAAAGGTTTTGAAGATACGCATAATTTTAGGTATATCTCCTATTTCTATCCAGAACAAATAACCTGCTCGATAACGTAGGTGAATATAAGTCAAGCAATTGCCTAGCTCAGGCTTTGTAACATTATGATTATTGATAGACCATTCGGTTTCGAGCGGAACTTTCTCTCGTAAGCGGGTTATGAACCCGCGATGAGATCCGACTCTCTCAGTCACTGATAGAGCATTCGACCGGAAATTTGAGTTTTGATTGTATTTTTTTTAACTCGGAAATTTTAACTCGGAGCATCAGCAATCATCACGAATCAGATATACATTCATTCCATGGTCACTTGAATGTAAAAATTTCCCAACCTCCTACAGCTCCCTCGTGATATATTTGGAACTGTCTACTCACACCACCGGTTGAATCTATCGATCTTAATCAAGCTAAAATTGATTTATCGAAACTAACTTATTATTGACAAGACTGGTAGTTAAAAAGCATTAATAGAATTGCTTATAATACCTTTAAGTTGCATTCGAATGAAATAATGAATGAATACATCCGTGCTTGTTAAGCACGAATTGAACTGGCTGGGATTGTTACTTGAACCGATGTTGTTCTATAATTGTATCGAAATTGGTCCAAATGCTTCAAGCATTTACAAAACATTTGTAAGAAATTGTTACTGAGATGATGCGTGTATTTTTGAGGAAGTACGCGAATATGGTGAAAGGAATAAGTCATCAACATTGGCAAATGTTTATTGATATTTTGATGGATCGAATTATTGAGAACGGTAACAAACAGTTTGATACAGGTTCGTTGCACGTTGATCAAAAAATTTGTACGCTTCGCTTACATGTCAACAAATCAGTTCTTTCTTCAAACGAGACGACAACTCACTGAAACAATATTGAAGGAAATGAAGTGTCTCGAGCGTGGAAGATGCTCGGTCAATTGGTCGCATTCCACATACGACTCGGATACGATCATGAAACGCTTCGTAGTGAACGGAGTAAACGTTTACTGCCAATGCTACCTATACAACAAGCCAATATCGATAGGATGCAAAATGCAAAATTCAAGCGAATGATAAGCAGGGAGGATATCTCGTTAGAGAAATTCATTCTTTTCAGTTTCGTTGGATGAAGCTTCTGACTCAGGCTGAGTCAAATCAAATCGATTGAAAATATCAGCTATTCATTTGTGAATCATTTCATGCAATGTACACTCAAATTAGGATTCAGCTAATACTGCCTGATCGAATGTTGATCAAATGAATGAATTCAATTACCTGTCGAGGGATTCTACCAATTTCTAAAGCTCGTTTGAATAAATCTGCTCTATTGATGCCAAGCAGCATAATTCCCATACAATTACAAAAATCACCCATTGCAAGAATGATAAAGAGCTGAAATTTGAAACAGATCAAAACTTGTTTTGTAACCTCAAAGTAAGTGTCTTCAATATAATCATCTCAAAACTCGTTGGAATTCAGATGAGCAATGAATGAATGAAGGAATGAGACAGAATGCTGAACGTATTAATAATAATGATTGAGAATATTCGGTGATGTGAAACAATTTGACTGCCCTGTAACGTTGTCGGAAGTAAGCAACAGAAAGGAAAGTGATGATGAGAATGACATTGACTGCAGTGCTTGCACCACCAACGAATATCGTTATCGTATGCCAGATTATCACCTTTTCGATGTTTGACGTTTCGTTCGCACTTACTGAACGATATGCTTCCGTGGACATCTCTGAACGAATGAAATGTAATATGGAAAGCAACGAAATGGCGACATTCATATGAGATCACAGTCCGTTAATTAGAATAACTTGAACCGTTCAGTGGCACAAAGAACATACAAGAATTGTAGAGAGAGAATCACGATCCGCCGAAAAACATATGAGAATCTGTAACTTTGAATTAAAAGAGCATGCAAATACGTTGTCTTGCTGCAACCTCTCTCTTAAAACACGATATTGTTTGGTGACAAAAAGAACACCAATTTGCATGAAGCAAATGGTTCATTTCAACTATTCAGATTCGTTTAACACCGAAATCAAAGAATGGAATATATCTGAGGTGAAAATTTATAGCAAGAAATACTTGAAATGTTAGCTGAAATTTAAAATTTAAATTGAAACTAGTAAATGGAAATTTACAGCAAAAAATACCCTTGAAGTCATCTTGCTGTTTCATTTTGATGAGGCATACTTTTCTACTAGGTGAAAAAGAGGGAAAAGTATTACGCGCACATATATGACAGAATTGAACAACGTTACTGCTATTACTTATGTGATTCATTGAAAACATTGATCCTATTGATAGTGTGGGAATTATATTT